CTGTAGATGTATATGAGATGATCTCATAAAGACAAAATAATCATGTATTCACGATAATCTGTGTATATGTGCCTCCATCATCACGCACACAAAGGCTGCAGCTGTGCATGTTCGGTGAAGTTCAGATGAACAAAAGAACATTGCAATTTCTCTCAGCCCTCCATTTATTGTCTTTGGTCATTACTACTGATTCTCGCAACCATGTGATTTTCAAGCTTATGAAAAGCTGTAAGGAAATGTGTCGTCTTATTGTCTCTCATCAAATCTCAACAGATCAATCATCAGGAGAAATCCATTCTAGCCTCTCTTCCAGATAATTTATGTAAGATTTCTATATAGAAATGATGTCAATACATTGTTATATAACTATACTTGAAACATGATAGTCAGATGGTGATTACATAAATGGTATAAAACGTTATGTATGTCTTTGCGGTGGTTTAGATATAAGGAGCTGAAAGTGAAATTCGAAGTGTTTCTAAATTCATATAAAAGTCTTCAATCCAAAGAAAGTTTACAGTCACTCAAATATAATATAATCTGACAGGCAGCAACATGTTAAAGGTCCAATATATAAAATATCTACTGAATTAAATCATAAAATGACCTTACCATATCATCAGACATTAAGGAAACATGACATGTTGAAGTGCTGGCTTCTCTGACAACAACGCAGCAGCCAGTATGTCCTCTTAAGTTTAAATTCCAGTGTGGAATGGTTTGTTTTTCTTTTGACCAGAGAATAGAATAGAATAGAATTACTTTATTGATCCCAAACTGGGAAATAGTGGTCCTCGTAGAAGGTAAGTTGTTTAAGGCCCCTTCAAACATCCATTTTGCTTCAAACATCCATTTTCAGGGGTTGACAGCACTCTACAATGTTTTTAATTGACTGCAGTACCTTTCTTAAACTCTAGGTGTCAGAGTTACATAGTGCTCCTTAAAATTAAACTCCAAATTAATGTCTTGATTGATATTTATTGTAGAAGTAGCAAATGCACCGCAGATTTTATACAAACCATTGAAGTGTGAAATACAGAGAGAAAAGTACGGTGGCCTGTAGGTGCAAAGGCCAATCAACAGCTGAAACGACTTACATTTAAAAAAAAAAAACATGCAGCATATTCAGAAATGCTGCACATTCCAAAAGAATACAAACATCCACAATGAATGCAACAAACATGCTGCAAAAATCATCACGATAACCTAATGATTTAATTCAGCACTGATACCAAAATGAGGATAAAATCTGATGGATTATAGTATACACTTAATGAAATATTATACTATTAGAAACAATCATGAGTTCATAAAAAAGAGACCCGAAGTGAATCCTCCATGAGCAAAGGCTTGGCAGAAATAGCAAGGACTAGACTTCTTTCTACCAACAGGTTTGCTAACATTAGCATAAGCTAAAATGTCGTCAATAAGAGAGTTAGAAAAATAGAAAGTTCTGTGATAAATTTGTCGATGAGTGATAGCCACTTTCTAATGCCTGTAAAGGAGCATTAAGTAGCTCTTAAACACCACTAAAATGGTTTATTGGCTTGGAAATATCTCAGAATAACTACTAGGCTACAGCTAGCATACATTAGCTAACATTCTCATTAAACAGTAGTAGGCCCACAAAACATAGTCTGTAAATCTGATTAAATCGATCCTCATGTAGTGTGTGCTGTGTACAAAGTTCTTTTCTGAGAATTTGTTTTACTGCAGAGGACTCAATGCAGTAAAGGATTTACAATGTGTTAACTGGAGAGCAGGGATTAACTTGTCGTTATTGCCACCGACTGAGGAGTCAGCCTATCTATCACCCTTATGTACGTCATAATCACTTTTAAGCAGACTGAAGCCAAGTTAACTGATTTCCGGATCGGGGTTTTTGAATGTGACCTGTGGCTCCTTTCCTGCATGTCATTCCCCACTCTCTCTCTCTCCCTGATTTCTGTCTCTATCCACTGTACTGTCTCTCCAATAAAGGCACAAAAAGCCCAAAAATAAATCTTTAAAAAAAACAAACACTGGGTGACTTAGGGACAAAGAGCGCTTTCTAAAGCCTACGAATGTGTGGATGGGTTTGCTCACAAAGTGGGAAACTACACTGAAAAAACTCCAGTCTTAGGTAATGAATTTGTTGGAAGTTCTAGTAAAAAAAAACCCATTATAGCCTATTTAATAAACCTCAGATTTTGAGATGTAAAAGCAAAGCGTTAGTAAAACGAAAGAACACCTGACAATAACAATTTCCCTGCTACGTTGGCCGATATTTTGACTTATAACGAACAATTCAGGCCGTTTTTCTTGCATTCTTGAAATGAGACGTTTCTCTGGACTTCACAGGTGAATGGGCTTCAATTAAGTGTAATGATATATTTTTTTACTTGAAATGAGTTAAGATGCTAAGGTTTGCTTTGTGCTGTGTGATGAGTTATTCCATAAGATTTCAGAGGGTCTTCTTCTGAAATTATTTCAACCATCAGAAAAGCAGTTTGTCTAATGATATCCATGACTTTGTATCTAAGAGCCTGAAAAGCAGAGAGCAAATGGCTTGTGAGATTTTGTCCTAGATGCAACACAAAACATTGAACCTGAGCCCCTGATTAACTTGACGTACAACCTATCACCGTTATTTAGCAGTATGAGGGACTTTGGTGGAGTGCCTCTGCCTGATTTGTCAGTCATCAGAGTCATGTTGAAGTGAGGCTTATCCTCTGGAGCTGCATATGAAGGCCTGATGCTGAGGTTACAGAGATGTCAGGCCCATCTGGTCTTATTTATTCAAGTGTGGAGGCTCAAACGATTTGTATTTTTAGCTCCATCGCTCACAGAGATCACATGACCGATGTGAAACATCTTTGAAATGCCAACATTTGTGTTGTATCCATGCTCCAGCACAGTTCAGATTAGAGGACACTCATTGCAAACTCTGGGTTTAGCACGTCATCTGTACCGCAAAGCTCAACTGACCATCAGTCTGGTCACTAGAAGCAGCTGCTCATTATCCTCTCAGCAAAGCACACAAGTGGAGGCAAGGACCAATCGGAAGTGTCACGTTATAAAGGAAATATAATTAAAACTAATTATAATTTGAGGATTGGTTTATTAATATTTAGAAGTTTGTTTTTCTAATAAGATGCATGAGTTGGTCAACTTTGGATACCAACAAGTTTACCGGGCCATGTGTTCTTCAGTATATGGATAAATCCACTGTTTTATCAACCAATCAATCTTTATTTCACAAATTCACAACATATGTTGTCTCAAGGCACTTAAAAAAAAGCAGATAAAAGACCTTACTCATTGCTAAATGATCTACAAAGACACAACGTTAATCCATCATGAGCACAGCACTAAGCAACATTTAGCAAAGTTACAGTGGGAAAGAAAAAAATTCCCTCTAAGAAGCAGAAATTTGGGCCAAATCCAGACTAGTGACGAAGAGCTATCCGCCAAAACTGCATTATAGGCTTGAAAAATGGGATAGGTGGAGATGCAGGAAGACGGAGAGAGACATTCTGCTAAACAAATGATCAATAAAAGTTTAATAAACTGTTGTTAACAATGCTGCAAAACCAGATCATCTATTGTTTATTCCACAAATTATTTTTCCTTTCAAAAACCTGGGGCCGATATTACCCACAATGCAACCTACATTTTGGTCAAATGTCGCTTACATATTGTCAGTTCAAGGTGGAAGTTATTCCACCCCTGATCCACCATCAGAGGTAGCCTATAGTAACAGAGCTGTATCAGGTGAGAGACGGTTAAAATGTGCAACCTCAAGACCAACAGAGTGAAACAACACTGTATGTGTGTGTGTGTGTGTGTGTGTGTGTATGTGAAGCTCCCTGTAAACTGTTAGTTTACACGTTTTCCTATCGCTCTTCTGCAACACCATGAAGCCTTGTGAAATCACCAACTGATACACCAATATTAAGGCGTTGCAGATGCACTGTGTGTAGGCATATTGATGGACACGTTTTGTTAAAGCACTGGACAGACGAGCTAACACTGATGGACAGAAGAACTTTGAGGTGCTGGACTGAAGACATTTGTTATGGCACTGTTGCAGAATTGCGATGTGTAAAGGGATAGCGTTGAAAAAGTTGTGCCATTAAGCTCGCTTAGTTAAAACCAACAAAAGTGTTGCCAATATATTGCTGTCCTATAGTGTGTGATTTTACAGAGCATGCTGACGCTACAGGAGTAAAAGAGACAATGTAGTAACATCAACTAGCCTATACATTGGAAGAATTTCATTTAAAAACTATTATGTAAAATTTGCTTGTGCTAAATAAATAAACAAATGAAACAACTCATCTACAATTTCTAACTTCAAATGTCCGAACTATCCCTTTAAGTTAGGCTATATGCAGGCTACTTCACAAATATGTTGAAACATATTTAGGCACTATTTTTCCATCTATGGAAACGTAAATAGCCTCATCACAGTATACATAAACGTTTGTTTCATTTTATTGAAAGTCGAACTTTTGTCCACTAGGCCACACCACCAGGCTGATAATCGCCTGCAGTGCACTCGTCCGGTTCTAGGCAGGGGCCAACAGGGACCAGTGCCCCTGTTACACCGAGCTTGGACCCCCCCTGTGGCCCCCCCTCCAAAAGGAAGAGCCGGCCTCAAAACACATACACAGTATTTGACTCACAATCTAGTATTAAATTCTGTTGCTGAAACAAATATAAATCATGGTATTTAATGTTGTGGTATTTAATGATGTGCGCTATTATTTGGCATAATATATATGTATATTTTAAAGCGATCATCTTTGTTTATTTTTCACCTGGGTTTAATGTTCCCCTCTGACAAAACAACTGGCCCCAGTTTGGCCCCCTCAGTAAAAGTTGTCTAGAACCGCCACTGAGTGCACTATTGTAGTTTTGTGAATGCTGAAGAGAGGAGGGGCTTCCCATTGACAGAGATACGGGGGGAGAGAGTATTAGAGCGCGCGTCATATGAATATCCCACACTTGATGCAAGCTCGAGTTAAATCCTGACAACGTGACATCCTATGTGCTGGTCGCTCGTGAGGGACCGTCTATGGGAATGTGACACTTTGGCACACAGCTGAGCTCAGTGTTGGGGGTGCTGTTTATCTCCTGGTCACCATGGAAATGTTTGGTTACTGTAGAGCGCCTAATGGCTCCTGGACTCCACCAGGTGTGTTTGGAAATTAGCTGGAGCACATAGATATACTCTACCTCGCACCAATGAACTTTTCGGTCCTCAACGCGCCGCTGCATCCTTCTCAGGGACAATGAGGACGAGTCGCAAATGCAGGACCCTTCTGTCGATAACCTTAAACTTTATGGCTCTGCTTTTCGCAATAACAGCATTTATTACGACGTACTGGTGCGTGGGGACGCAGAGAGTCCCCAAGCCCAAGTGCAGCAAGCTGCGCACACACCAGTGTATCGACTACGGGGTGAATGAGACAGACCCCAACAAAGTGGTGTACAGCTGGGAGACCGGGGACGACCGGTTCCTGTTCCGACAGTTTCACACCGGCATCTGGTTCTCCTGTGAGGAAAATATCCACGATGAAAGTAAGAGAAGGTGTGTGTGTTTGCTGTGTGGATGAGTGTGTTTACTGAGCAAGCTTAACTTTTTGTCTCCAGGGAGACATTCAGCCTACAGCTTACAAGTATAGTGCAATGATATGGTTAGCTTTAAATTGACTGCCAGGGGACATTTGTGTCAGAAATAAAGTAAGGCTTCATTTTTAAAGGAAATTATTTATTTATTTTTTAATTACTTTTATATTTTAATTGATATGCTCCATGATTCAAAAACCTTTTTGGGAAGAATTGGATCTATTTTGGACTATCATGTCACAGAGTCACTTATTATAGCCTACTCCTTCTTACTATACTTTATTATTCATAGTTACAAAGTTGGTCATCATGTTTTTTTTTTTCTCACACAGACTCAAAATTCATAATTAACAAGCAAACATGAAATCACTCATTCAAATTTTACTCTCTCCATTGTCATAATGGAACAATGGATATTAGGCAATGTTTTTGAGTTATTCCATGTCATGAAATTTTCAGGATAATCGCATTTTATTTATATCAAACTCCAGGGATCTGGTAAAATTGCTTGAGCTATTTCTATCTGGCATGACATTCTGAGCTGAACAGCAGTACACATGGACTTCACGTTCAAGTTTAAAGAAAGGAAAGGTGGAGGAAATCAAACTCCAGATACAGTTTTTACGACCAGGGTTCTATGGGTGGGTCTGATTGCTTCACAGCTTAAGCCAAAGAGGGGAGAAAACCAGTGAATGATGTGTGCACAAGCTTAATCTTACACTTAGGTAAATGAAAATGATTTTTGATCTCATTTCAGTACAATAATCTATTAACAAAGGGTTCCAGGCAGGAAGAAGTTTAGTCATCAAAAGTGTGAGAAGGGGTCAATGGACATGAGACAGCTTGGGTTAATAAGGATTATGTAATGGGGGCCTTGATGAGTTTTTCCTCAAAACAGCTGTTGCCACACTCATTCTACCTGATTAAAGTATTCCACAACAAATCCAGCGACACGCTCCGCTCAGCGGCTGACAGATAAGAACAACACATCTGCAGGAAAGTGTCATCAAGGACAATTTGTCTATATCCTGTTTGTTAAACTGACACATTTCATCTCATACAGTGGCTTGATTGTTACTACAGTGCATCCTTTTTTTTTTACTGTGTAATAACCCCGATTCTATTCTATCATTGTAATTCTATGCAAAGAATCCGTAATTCAGCAGGACAAGAAGCAGATGTTTAGCAGCTTTGCCAACACGCCAGCTGGTGACGCTGAATCAAAAGCCCCCCCAAAAGCTGTGTTTCTGACACATCTGCCTCTTATTCAACATTCTGTTTATCCACTCTGGTGTCACGGTGTGGTCACAGGACAAAAGGTCAAACTCTGAGCGTTCCAGTGAGACACACCTGGACAGAAATTGTGAATTAAACACAGATTTAGGATTTGGGCTGATGCCTCTGTCAGTTCGTTACTAAGAGCATTTATTCAGTCAGTTTTGTTTGTTTTTCCTAAACCGGTGCCCTCTGACCTGGCTCCTTCCAAACTCCCTCTTTTCTAAACTGCAGTTTTTTTTCCTGCTGTAGGTGAGAGATGCCGGAGCTTCATTGACCTGGCCCCCGCATCAGAAAAGGTGAGTTTTCACTGCTCCTCTTCGGGAAGTCCAACCGAGAGTTATTTTAAAATCCCACCCAAGAGACATTTGTAAAGAAATAGAAAATGTTTTCGCTAACCACAACTTAAATGTAATGCTGTCCAAATGATTGAGCGTGAGGCCTGGATTGAAATAAAGTCAAAGAAGAACTACTATAGATCTGGTTTATTGTTTGAACAAAGCATCCTTATAGAAAGTGTAATCACTAAAACATGTTTAGTTTTCAATAGAATTCATCATCTTTACTTTCAAATCTAAAAGGTCATTGTTCATACAATAATGTTCAAACGGAACTCTAGACAAAATGATAACATTCAATGTGCGTTTAACTCTCATTGTGGCCATCACCCTTGTTATACTGAACCAGAGATACACACACACACACACACACACACACACACACACACACACACACACACACACACACACACACACACACACACACACACTTGATGTTAACTTTGAGGATTTGCAGCTGTGTTGACAGTGTCTCTTGTAAATTGCTTTCTTCCTGTCAATCAAGGAAGTTACTGAATGCCAAAAAAGACAGCTATGCACATTGCAATTACCCTTGGCTTGATTCTCTGAACAGCCGAAGAAGATTTGGAGAAAAGAAATCTGACATCAGTTGAAATCCAGCATCCTACCATTTGGACATTAGCCAGCATCAGCCCCCCCTGGAAGCTGCTGGAGAAACCACTTAGATGCTCATTTGAATGCCAATCGTTCAATTGCACTTAACTCATCAGTTCGAAAACTGTTATTAAAAGATTGATCTGTTGTTCTTTGGAATAATTGCCCATTTCAACATCAGCCATCCTGTAGTCACATCCGGTGCTTTAAAGTTGGGGCGCTGGTGGCGCCATGTATGGAGGCTGTAGTCCTCCAGGCGGGCGACCCGGGTTCGAATCCAGCCTGTGGCTCCTTCCCCACATGTCATTCCCCACTCCCTCTCCCTGATTTCCGACTCTATCCACTCAGTGTTTCCCCTAGGTTTACAGCATTGGGGGGGTGGGGACAAGCCAACACGACGACACGACGACTTGAAGGAATCTTGGTGTTCATGTGTTACTTTTAATGACAGATGTCCTTTTCTATCAGAAAGGTATCCTTAAATGACTTATTTCCCTGATTTACGACTCTATCCACTATCCTATCCCTACAATAAAGGCACAAAAAGCCCCAAAATAAATCTTTAAAACAAAAAAAAAAAAAAATTGGGGTCACCATTATATTGGGCCGCCCCCCAAATATAATGGTAGGGGAAACACTGCCACTGTCCTATCTCTACAATAGAGGCACATAAAGCCAAAAAATACATCTTTAAAAAACATAAACAAAAACAAAAACACATGAAAACATACATCTCTGACCTCATTACAACTATAGTGGTGCTGCTTGTTTTGAAATGCAGTACACATCATCTACAGTATGCAGCTATATTTGTATTGTTAATTTGTACCTATTGTCAGTAAAATCAAATGTGCCCACTTTGCAGGGATGCTGTGGCTGTCGCTGGTCTCTGAGATGCTTTACATCATTCTGTTGGTGGTGGGCTTCAGCCTCATGTGTTTAGACCTGGTCCACTCCATCAACGTCATTGATGGACTCAAACTCAACGCCTTTGCTGCCGTCTTCACCGTGCTCTCAGGTACTTCAATTAAAATTGATATGTGGATGTTTTTTGTTTTTTTTATATAAAAGCAGTGTTTTTCAAAGTGGGGGACCTGACCCCCCAGGGTGGGGTGAAAAGGCTTGGCAAGAGTGGAGAAAATGGAACAAACATACAAATGAACTACTAACTTTATCTGTGACAATATAATGTTAATGTAAGTCCCTTACATAAGTTATTCATCCCTGCATATCAACATGTATGCGTTCTTTTCCTACGCCAACTCTCAGTTTAAAAGAAGAAAGACATTTTAAATGGAATGAATATAATTACAAGAGAATAAAATAAAACAATACATTTACTGTTAGTGTGGAGACAGAAATTAGGACTGTTGACAAAAAAAGACATTGAATGAAATTAATGAATAACAAGACCATTAATTGATAAAAAAAAATAGAAAATATATGAAAAATGATTTTTATATTTGCCGTTGTAATGCACGAGGGATTTAAGGCATTTTGTAATAGGGGTTCCCTGCAGGAGGCAAATGCTATAAGGGGGTCCTTGGGACGGTAAAGTTTGGGAATCCCTGCTCTAAAGTAACATTTCAAGAACATTGATAAAAGACTTCAAACATCTTTCATCAAGCCACAACATTTTATAGACCATTTTGGTAAATTCATTGAGAAGATGGAGTCACAATGTAAACAAGAGGCCCCTAAAAGACGGAGAGTTCTGCCTTTGTTTGAAGAAATGAAAGAAAGACCTCAAGACAAGAAATTGTCTGATTGTTTGAATTAAACTTCAGAACAGAATATAATAGACATAATTTATTTATTTTATTTATTGGAAGGCAGGGCAACATCAACATTGGTATTACATAATTTCAATTTGTTTTTATCGAGGCACATTTGCGTTTACTTTAACTTTAACTCATTCCATTTCTGAGGATTACTAACTTACTAACCACATATATCATTTCAGGTCTTCTTGGCATGGTGGCTCATGTGATGTACACACAGGTCTTCACAGTCACTGTCAGCTTCGGCCCCCCTGATTGGAGGCCCTACAACTGGGACTATGGCTGGTCCTTCTGGTAAGACTCCACAGTCTCACAGCGGAAGTCAAAATTCATGGTCATGATGATATTTTTTGTTTTGCAATAGCTTGCGACGCACTGCCTTTTACAAATAAAGTTATGTCAGCTCACCCATTAAGAAACCAGATGAGGGATTCCATTCAGCATGTAGCAGCCAGAAATAGTCATCTGTGGTTCTTCTCTCACCTCTCCTCAGCGTCACTGTCTCTAATGAAAAAAGCCCAAAGCTCTCATGTCATGGCAGGATTAGGCTTTGGTGTCTAAAGCCCCAATACAGGCGTGATTGGAATTACATAAGGGGATAATATTTTACTCCTTTACAATATGCGCAGTATAAGGAAATTTCATTTGAGAGGCTAAACAATTCTTGACCTCTTATAAACATTAACCAACCTGCTTGAAAAGTACATGAGGCAGAGATTTGAATGTCTGATCCCCCCTGTGGCCCAGCATGCTTCAGGGGAGCAGAAGGACTTAAAGTGATTTACATTAATCCCTGCAAACAAAATTATTAGGGGAAAAGGCCAAAATGCAATTTGTATTGTGTTCCTACACGGATGTTTTTCCATGTTCTATTACAACAGCCAACATCACCACATGTGCTGCATTACAGTTTCTCTGAACTCCTCTTGTTTTTTTCTCTCTCTCTGGTTCATAACAGCATAGCCTGGGCATCCTTCACCTGCTGCATGGGAGCATCAGTCACCACCCTCAACTCCTATACGAAGACTGTCATCGAGTTCAGACACAAACGAAAGACCTTCGAGCAAAGCATCCGGGAGGAGCAAGCAAGGGAGGCTTTCGGATACTACCGGGAACGCTCTGTGCAATCCATCTCCAAAACTGTGGAGGTTTATACCAGCCAGACCCCAAAAAGTGGCAGAAAAACTCCCATACCTGCTGACTCTCTGGACCTGACTGACTGTGCACGATCTTTAGGGGAAGAGCAGTGCTGATTGAGACAATTTCTGTCAGTGTTGCAACTTCCCAGAAAGGGGGCGCTGTTGTCTGTGTTTGGTCGGTTTTGAAGGGATGAAGGCCTCATGGGATTTCAGGCTGCATCATAAGCACCATCTGCTACATTTTAACACTGCCTTAATTGCGGTTGGGTTGTTGGCATTGGTTGTCAAGGAGCTTAAAGTCACATATAGGAGCTTTAAATCAGCTGATAATATAGAAAGTGGGCATGAACTGATCTCATATACATAGATGAGGAAAGCTACCACAAAGTAGGTTTAAAACAAACTGTTTTGTAGAGCCATAAAAAAAAGAATGAGGGACGCCTGGATGCTATAATAGCCTTATAAACACACTTCAGTCAATCAATAAACAATGCAAAGACAGGAGACAGAAGTTCAAGTGGTTTCGTTCATTCTGTAATAAAGCCACAAATACTTAAATGAAAATGATGTGCCTACATATAGGAAGTGTAAATAATGTCATGAAATATTTAATTTAGATATTCACACACACACACACACACACACACACACATACGCAAAGCCAGGTCAAGTAAAGCTGCAGAGAAACTTAAACACAGATCTTTGTGGGTGAGAGTACTTCCTGCAAAGCATGATAGGAATAATTTAAACACTCAGTATGGTTTCAAACATTTCCAGGAAACTATGTAATTTAAAATTGATGCTTATGTTTTGATCAGAGGAAAATAAATTCTCTCTACTGTGAAAAAAACGTGTTATTCTCTCTTAATTAGACATGTACCGAGGCATGTTAGTATGCTAAATGTTTATCATCCCACATACTGAAGTGAAGCTTCATGAAAAGATGATCTTTGCAGATTTGAATGCAAATATTGACTGTAAAGCAACAAAGAAACCACTTGTCTTATTTCTGAGATGTGATGACTTAACATCCTGAGCATCAAAGAAGTTCTACAGACACGGATGAATTCAAGGCCTTACAAACAATGGAGACATGTTATTTTACTTGAGAGACCAAATTATTATGAAGTCATCCTTCTGTTTTTGTAATGTAATGTGGATGTTTGAATGTTGTGTTGTAGGCATTTTGTGCAGTTGCCACAATGCTTTTTCTTGTTAAATAAACTTTTGATCTCAAGGGTAAATTCTGGTAAACAACAAAAAGTAAAGTAAAAAAATAGGAATTTGTTAATGAAAAAGGATCAGCTCTTCTTTAATCAAGCAAATGTTAATATAGCCACCATTAGTGCATTCATACTACACAATAAAGATAGTTTTATTTAACTTTTGGAAACCCTTACAGTCAGTTTAACACTTGATTTTTTTTAAATTAGACTTCATGTGTCAAACAAACTTTTATTCTCTTTAAACTTTGCGTCTAAGTTTAAAGGTCCCATATGTTGCAAAATACACTTTAACATGACACTAATATGTGTCCCTAGCTTGTCACATACAAAGCCCCCAATTAAAAGAAAAGTCCATCCTCTCTGTCTTTTGCCTTCTCCACTTTTCAGAATATATGTGCTCAAACAGACTGTTTGGAGGTTTTCCTTCATGACATCACAAAGGGCAGTAACCCCTCCCCCAGGTGGGTGACACTCCCACAGCTAGGTGTTTGTTCTTCCCTCTGAGTCTGCCTTCTCAACATTAATAATTGAGTGTGGTGCGAGAAAACCAGAGCCACCGAAGCCCTTCCAGAGGGGGCGTGGTCAGACACAGCTCATTTGCATTTAAAGCTACAGACACAGAAACAGCCTGTTCTGAGCAGGGCTGAAATAGAGGGGTTTATAGGCATGATCGAATACAGCATCAGAGTGGATTTTTAGCTATGAATTGCACAGACATGTTTTGGGAAGCTCTGAGACTAATTTAAACTTGCTGAAAAGGAGGGGAATATGTGACCTTTCAGAAACATTTTGAGACATCTAAAGTGATTCTTGTCCTATACACAACTTACAAGACTGTGGTGTCACAACTTGAAATTCCCAGTTACCCAAAAAAAGTGGTTTGAAACTAGTTAAATGAAGGACATTATCGTTCAGTAGTAGAAAACCCACAACTATCCACCTTGTATTTGGCATTGCATACATATTACCTGTAGAGGGCAGTGTTGGCTTAAAATGGTGCATGGTGACTATAATTTTGCTTGATGTCATTGGCTTATTTTGGCATATTTTATTTCACTTAAAGTGTCATTTGTTACAATTGGATAGGCTTGGAACAGTCATTACTATCTCTTTGCATTTATTTTATATGTTTTAGCTGAGTGTCCACATTTTTCAGAGAATACACAAGTCACAATTTATTTCATAATACAGAAATTAAATCTGAAATGGCTCAATAAGGCCTGCTGCTTATTACTTATAGTATTCATTTATTTTATAATGCTTATAAACTGCTGTAGAAACATACTTTAAAATATATTAAACTGTTAAAGAGGTGGGCCTGCACTCTCTCCTTGTCCTGCTACAATATACTATATTTGCACTTTTTTATGTACAGCTGGTATGACCAGAGATCATAACCAGAGAATCATAACCATAATTCATTTTTGTTGTTCTTTTCAGTTCAGCTCCTTTCTCTGTGGGGATATAAACTGAGACTCCTTTCTCAGTAACCATCATCATACTCGTTCTGGGCCTGCTGCCTGGCCAACATGGCCTGTATGAGTGCACTGGAGCCTGCAGGAGCTGCAGTTTCTTGAGGAGCGGAGGCCCACTGAAACCTTTCCTCTCCTCTGCTCTCTGCCTGGCCTGCATGACTTGCATCATAACACTCGACACAGAAGACGGCAGGTCATCCACCTCGTCTGCTCCGTATTCCTCTGCTTGATGTCTGGCTTGCATAGCCTGTGTGACAGCACTGGGTGTATCGATGTGGTTCTCAGAGAAACCCGTTCTACTGTAGTATTCATCTCTCTCTGTGGCCTCTGCTCTCTGACGGGCCAACATAACTTGAACCAGAGAGCTGGACGATGAGATGTCAGATGGAACAGGCACTCCGTCACGACTGTGACCATCCTTCCCCTCTCCAAGCCGCTGTCGGGTGAGTAAAGTCTGAACCATGGCGTTTGAGTTGGAATGACCTCCAGAGGAGTGGTCATCTGAATGCCGATTGGTGTGCTAAAGGACAGAAGAAAGTAAGGCTGATAACAAATGTCAGGGAAGAAGGTGAAGTAAGCATGAACAAATCTCCACAACAAACCTTTCTTTGATTCTTCTGTTTGGACTTTTTATTCGGCTGACATTTCTGAAGATTCTGAAGCTTATCTAACAAGAAAGACTTGTCTTTCCCTTCCTGGTGAGAGCAAAGGAAACAGAAAACCGAGGAAAGTAAGAAAGATGACAAATAAACATTCCTAAATTTAGATTTTAAAATGCAACAAAAAGAATACAGGAGGAGGGAACAATATACCAAATGGGAAAGCTTATATAGATACTGTATGTATAAAGAATACTTTTTAAAAACATACTCACATTCACTATCTGTTGTCTCAGTTGACCAATGAGCTGCTTCCGGCCTTTAGTTATTTGCCAAAAGATGTTTATGATGACCCTTAACAGGAAGACATGATCATTTACATGATGTATAATTTGCATGAAGACACAAACACTCACACAACAGGCTTGTAACATGCTCTCTCAGGCTGTTTTAAAATGTAAATACTTGTGAATAAAAGCAGAGAGACATTGTGATATTAAGGTCCCCTATTGTGCATCATTTTCTGTTGAAATGTAATAAAACATATTATGTTACGTTACATATCCTCAAGTAAACAAGTCTCAGAGCTTGCCAAAATATGTCTTTGAAGTTTCTTTTTCTAAATCCACTCTGATCCTGTATTTGATCATGCCTTTAAACCCCTCTATTTCAGCCCTGCTCAGAATGGACTGTTTCTGTGTCTGTAGCGTGTCAGTAACACTTTGTTCTGGGCTGCAATATCTCAACATTTATCAAAAAAACAAAAAAAAAACATTTACTGAGAATTTGGGACATCGTGTAAAATCTGAACAAAAACAGAATGTGTAGATTTGAAAAACACTGAAACCCCATATTTGATCGGAAACAGCACAAAGACGACATGCCAAATGTGTAAACTGAGATATTTCTTTGTTTTTAGTTGTCCCAACTTTTAAGGAAATAAGGTTGTATAAACATTCAAGGCTCTCACTGGACCATGGACGTTGAGATGATGATTTTTTTGAAAATTGCTGTTTTCAAAGTCGATAAAGAACTTTTAATTCTCAGCTTTGACTGATGAAAGGTTTCTTATAGTTTGTCAGTAAGTCTGCATGGTGATGTAGCCGTTAGCACTGTTGTCTCACAGTGAGAAGGTTCATGGTTCAATTTCTGTCAGACACAAGCCTTTCTGTGTGGAGATAACATTTTCTCCCTGTGCATGGGTGGGTTTTCTCTTGGTACTCCTGCTTCCTCCCTTATTCCAAAGATATGCGCGTTAGGTTAATTGGTGACTCTACATTCCCCGTAGATGTGAATGTGAGTGTGGCTGGTTGTCTTTATGTCAGCCCTTTGATTGACTGGCGATCAGTCGAGGGTGTACCCCGCCTCTTGTCCAATGACAGCTGGGATCGGCTCCAGCCCCCCGGACAGGAAAAGCAGTATTGATGGATGGAACAAAGAAAACTCTGTATGATGAAGATGCTTCAAGGTGAGAATGTTTTTGCTTTTTTTTTTAGGTTAAGAACAACTTGCATGGGTTGAAAAGTATGAGTGAAGTATGAGTGAAAACATGAAGACTGTCTCACAAATGGATTTCATCTGCATCTCCAAAATATAATGTTGCACACAAACAACATACACACAACATATCACCTGCACTTTGAACTTACAGGATAATAACTGTGACCAAAAAGTAGAAGATTTCACTTCTAATGACATTTTGGTAGATCCACACGATCCCCCATTGATCACCATAGATTCCCTCCAGATCTTTTATCCAAAGTCCAACGACACTGAACGTGTTGTTTAGTCCTCTGAAAGGGCCACACTCCTCTGATGGAGGGAGACTGCACAAGAAAAGACAGAGGTTTAGTTTTAGGTTGGGAAATACATCGGGTTTAGAAGAGATATAGATTAAAGAAGATATAGGGTAGGACAATATCGTTTATAACGATATAGTTAATGTTGTGTTGAAATATGATATGCTTCTTCAGTCCAACAGTTCACCTGTTTTTCCTCTCTGTGTCTGTCCCTCTTCACCTGGCTCCTCTATCCCTCTCTGAGCAAAATGTAAAAAACCTCCTGGAACATTTTATTAAAGGAGCATTTTTGTTCAACATAATTAATCATTATTTTTCCAAACCAGGTAGTTTGTTTTATTTATATTTTCACATTGTGCAACTGGAAGTAGCTCAGTCTGTAGGGATTTGTTTTGGTCCCAAAGAGTTTCCGGTTCAAGTCACTGCCGATGTGCCCTTGAGCAAGTGCACTTTCATGTGCAGCCCCTCTGACATCTCTCCAATAGTGCATGTCCATAAGAGTGCGTGCATGTGTATTTTCAGCCAATGTGTGTGTAGCATGTCTCAGCAGCAGAGTGTAAAAGTAATTTCCCCTCGTGGGATAAATAAAGCATATCCTCTCTTCTCTTAATAAAAGTATCTGTGACATTTGGCCCATGAAGATTTGACAGAGAACTGACTTTGTATATTGAGGATTATTGTGTTTTGCCCTTCACCTAAAGAATATTGAGGTGTGATATTTGGTCTATATTGTTGTTATATGCAACATGTGTCAAAAATCCGGGGTTTTGATCGCATATTTCTAGGGATGTAAAAATAAATTGCGAGCCAGTAAAAAATCGATTCAAAGGTGCCATGGTTCTTCAATGTCCTACGTCACTCGCTTGAACATCAGCAGCTGTAGAACAGAGGCGGTTGGTTGTAACTAGCAGGCGTTATCATGGCAGCTGCGGAGCAACATTTTGAAATTGAGGACGCACCACCGTCTTTTAAATCGGAAGTGTGGAAGCGTGTTGTCTTCCCCAAGACAGAAAATAAAAGAGGTGAGAAGATAACAGACAAGACAAATACTGTGTGCAAATATTGCAACAACATGATGCAGCATTTAACCCGACACCACAATGAAAAGCGCCAGTCATCGCCCCTTTAAAAGGCCAAACCACACTGACAAGGGGGTTTACAGCCCCGCTCGCCTAAACGAGTGCAAGAGCCAAAGAGATTACGAGGTGCATTGTTGTTTTCATTAAGAACTTAAAGGAATCTTTTTCAGTCATCTCATAATTTGCCTTCAGTCTCATTTTGTAAAATAAATTGTGAGAGAATCGTATCGTGAATCGTATCGTGAATCGTATCGTGAATCGTATCGTGAATCGTATCGTGAGTTGAGTGAATCGTTACATCCCTACATTATTTCATAATGATCTACAAAAATTATTTTCAACATGTGCTCATACCTCCAGGCAGTGTATGCAACGATGGACAAGGCCCCCACAAAACAAGGGAAGAAGAGAAGGCCGATGAAGATGGTTTGCATCTGAGCTGCTCTGCTTGACCGCCGCGGAGGCTGGCAGTTCTGTGTCAGGCTGACCTAGGAGGTGATAAAACAAAACTTGATCAGAGACAGAGACACACACTTTCACTCATTATCCCCGCAATGCCTTGAATATAATGAGCTCATGTCAGTGTAGACATCATATATGTTTACCTTCATAAAAGAAACCATGGGGATCTCATCAGAGCTTTAAACAACATTCATTTACTCTTTTAAAAAATAACTGGCCTTGCATTTTTCAATTCAACCATTAAGTTAATCCATTTAACCAAACCTATGCCAAGCTTGTTTTTTCCATACAACAAAATTAAGCACATAGTCAAGAATATTAAGATTCTAATCAATTACTGAACCAGGTTCACAAATAGAATAATGTGAACCTAACTGCCAATGCCTCATCACTTGATTAACCAGAGTTTACCTTCTTTAAGTTAAACAGGATGAAAAATTTAATAATCTGGATGACTGGCAGCAGGGGAGAGAAGTAGATACCAATCCTGTGGAGACATAATAGAGGATGAGCTAACTATTACTGTAACAGTGGAATATTAGATCGGAATTCAGACCAGGATAGCAAACACAAATTCTAATTGTAAGCCAAATGAATAAATGCATTTTTCTTACCAAGCCAGAGTTTGTGCGTAGATTAGTTCAAGGACGTTCCTAGCTACGTCAAACTCTGGTAGCCCAAGACGTGGTACTAATCTCGTCCCAATCACACTGTTAAGATAAATTATGAATATGATTCAAATCAGACATTCTCTTTACCCAAATTAGCTTATGGAGAGAGTACAAACAGTGTGTGACTCACTTGCTTAGAAACTCTCCAAAGAAGGATCCCAACATCAGGAAAAGGAAATCAAAAATGACCAGACGGTACAGAGCCTGTCCCACCATGGACTCCCAACACTGTGGAGAATAGAATAAGTTAATAAATGGCAACATTTTATGTTTAAAGATGGTTATAAAGGATTCATCTTAGTCTCACTTACCAAAAACTTTTTAGCCACCACATTCATCCAGTAGTAACACAAAACAGCCAGAATGGACATCTTAAGGAACACATTTCTGTAATTTAGAAAAGAGATTTAAGAAATCACAAGTGCATAAAAGAATATTTTCTGATTTGACGAAATACCCTTCACTTTTATTCCCACAAAGTTATACCGAAACCACACTCGTGTCTGTGTAAATATTATACTGGAGAAGGGCTGCTAGCTTAGCTAGCATAATGACAAGGCACAGCTGGAAACAGTGAGCTTCTTTTATGGAAGGTAACAAATTGCATTCCTACTTGTTATACGCTTCCAACTATCAATCTAAATGAAGACACATTACTTTCAAACCAACTTTTTACCCACAAAAAAGTGTAAAGAAAGTTCAAATACAACAATCTCATTTTGGGGGGGAGAGTCTAAGGAAAAGTCAAGTTCCCTGTAGTACTAAAACGTTTTTTAAGCTTCCTATCTGATCAGTTCACCAAAGATTCAATAAATTATAAATTAATCTTCAGAGGAGCTGGTAGTTCTTTCTTGCTTATTTGAACAAATCCAGGATAGCTATCACTTCTGTAGGAAAGGTTTGCTAAACTAAGCTACGCTACTTAGCTACTGACACAAACTTAATACTGAATGCAACAATACAAGAAGGCTTTTGATTTTCATATTTTTCACTTGGCCAGTCACTTTGCTTATCAGACAAAATGTCTTGTTATTCCCTAAAAGAAACACCTTGAATTTTTATTTCCTGTATTAATTTACCCATTTGTTTGTAGAATAGAGTTCTGCTAACCTGACTACCAGAGCGTAGATCTGTATTCGCTGGCTTGAGTAGTGCTCAAACTTGTTGAAAAGGGAGTAGAAGAGCGGCACGACCAGGTTCATCAGAGAAACAACAAAGGGAACCAGGAGAGTCTCTGCCTCCTCAGGCAGAGACAGGTTAGCAGTATATGTAGCCCACTATAAAGATAACAGATGGAAATCAGATAAAGATAGTGTTACTACACAGTTACCGTATGCAATAAAATGAGTCAAACCCTGCATTACCGGTATGTAACATTACAAAAAACCTGTAAGTCATATCAGTAAGTTGTGGCTTATGATGCCTGCTGATAAGGAGTCTCATAGACAAAATGATTTAACTTGCCGTGATGTAATTTCAGCCTTTGTGAACGCATGCATACAAAGGGATCCTGCAACAAACCTTTTCTCCAAGTAGGCTATTTTAATGGGATAAGAGTTCAATTGTTTTAGGAGAGAAAATGTTTTATTATTAAATAATTTAGGTATAACAGTACAGTACCTTCTCTTCATAGAGGCAGAGATAATAGATGCTAGTTCCACAGCCAACAGCTAAACCAGTGGAGAGGAGCCAGGAACCCAGATGAACCCCAAAGTGCTTCAGCCTTTCAGAGACGGTTAGCAGTTTCTTCTGGGCCTTCTCTGACAAAGACTCCTGAAGAGATGGTGACAGTGATTTAAAATAGGAATTGATCTGTTTTGTAAGTGATATGTTTATTGAGAAATTACGTGTTGAAAGCTTGAGCTGATTTCCTAATTTGAACTATTGGCTGTAAAAAAATGGGATGTAAAATCAGTGACATCACCAATATACAGAATTTATGCAGAGATATTTTGAAGCCAAAAATTGGTGGTCGTTGCCATATTGGAAATTTTATCTCAGCCTATTTTTTGATCAATCTAGTATCAGGCAAAGAGTGGAGGTTAAGATGAGCCTTAAGCCTCCTGGCAAACAGCTTTAATGTGTTCACCTGTCAGTCAAATCAGCTGCAGACTTAATTATAAAAATATCTCAAAGGGGAGGTTATGAAAATAATAATAATAATCCACTGTTTATCGAGTACAAATAAAGAAATAATCTACTCAGACCAAAACCTTTTGTAACTGATGTAAACCCCTCCCCTCGTTGATGTAATGGTAATTTAAGAATATAACATTTAATTCAGATATAATTTCTCAAGTTGTAAGTTAAAAAAATGTGTGTGAAATGAAGTAAAATATACCTTTAGTTGGACACGCAGGTTGTTCTTGCGCAGTCTCACAGCTCGCTCATTGGTTATACTAAAATCCCAGCTGCACAGAAGCTGCCATGCACTGTTTGAAACTGGGTCTGCCAGTACATAGTTTCTCTTGAATGAGCTGGCCATGCTGTGTAAGGATATGGTAAGAGTAGAAAATTGATAGTTTACTTCAAGGATTATACAGCATCTTAAATATTGTGATGTTCTATAATAATACAAATAAAGTGACTGACCTAAAGATAAGTACTAGTCCACACAGCACCATGTAGACGGCTATAGTGAAGAAATATGCCAACTGCATGTTGTATTCCAGCAAACCCACCAGGGTTTTATTGGTGTAGCTCCGTAATACATGGTTGTGTAATGAAAGTAGCCCTTGAAAAAATTAAAAACACTTTTTTCTATATTGAAATAAAATACATTAAAAACATATATTAAAAAAATATATTAAAAAAACATTTGGTTTTGACCACTTGGCAGCAGTGTAAAAACAGTAAGTCTACTGGAACACTGACAAATTAGCGTATGCTAACTTGTTAGCAAACAGTTGCTTATTAGTGCCTAAGGAGTTATCCCTTAAACTTTTAATATAATTTCCTTAAATATTAATATAAAATTTTAAATTAAGGCAATATTTAACTCCTGTTAGGAACTTTTGTTTGTATCCATTTCGGGACACCCTGAGGACAAAGTGTTACAACTTATCTCTATATTGATTTTGCCTTGCACATTAATCAGTAGCAGGGTTTTAAAAAAATAAATGAAAGTCTCATCCTCATGCTTTCTTTTCACACTCAAATGTATCACTCATCAAGAATCTTTACTGCCGAAAATGTAATCAAAGGCTGTTCAATCACTTAATCTGACACCTACCCCTGGTTTCAGGCGTTAATCATTACAATATAGGAATAATCTACATTTACTTTTGGATATCAGTATACATTTAAGTCAGTTTCATAACCAGCTAAAAACTCTTCACATGAGCTTTAAGTACTGTGATTATTTAAATAGATGTGTCTTAAATGTATGTTGTCCACTCACAGCTCCAGTCAGTAGCTCCAGTCCTCTGAAGCTCACATTCAGGGGTGTGTTGGGTGAGGGGTCGTAAACAAGCATCGGGATGGTGATAAAGCAAAAGTTGACAAGGAAGGAGAAAATGTTGAACATGAGCAGCCACTTGAGGAACACGAAATAGGAGAGGACACTGGTGCCAAACTTGCCGCCAATCTCTTTCATAATCCCTTGCCAGAGCTCAAGGGTCTGCCTGGCCGAATTTATACTGTAGCCACACCTACGGAAAGTCTGAGAGAGCAGCTTGTGACATGTCAAGAAGACAAAAAGTAGCTCATGTATGATGTGTTTTATATTAATGAAACACTCACCAATGACACTCTGTCAGAGCACTCTGCAAAACATGTGAGCTGGCGGGATTGTTTTGCAGATTTGAATGCCAGTACTCGGCTCCTGTGGAAGTAATGAGCAACATTTGATGTGATGATAACACGAGTGCCTTAAAACTACAACTGCTGAATCAAACAATTAGAGGAGCTAAGACAACAGAATGCTGCAGAAAAACTTTGGACTTGCTTTCCATTGTACCTTTCTTGGGTAATGTCCTTGAAACATGAGAGTTTGTGTTTGCTCACATACATGTAACTTTTCCTCCAGTGAACTATTTGGCAACACGAAAGGGCAACCTTGTCTTTGGATACCTGTACAGATGCCTTGTTTTATAGCTCTTAGCTTGGTGTAATGATTAACTTAGTGACGAGACACTGACAAGGAAGTTCAATATTTCTTATCAGTCGAAACCCACCAGATGTGTTTTTTCTCTTCGAAGCTCATTGGACGGTCCCGTAAGGCCTGAATTTGCTCGTGTGTTGACAGGGCGACAAGTTCCTTCACCAGGTTCTGTTCCTCTGTCACACACAAAATGAGAAGACAAACCATCTCTGTTATCTACATAGGCTACAATACAGGATGCAGGTCAGGAGTCACACTTCACGTCGTTGGCTTTTACCATTTTCCATCTCATTCCTGATGGCATCTTCTGTGAAAGCTAAATTGGCAGGATCGGCATTGGGAAACATGCTCATCCTTCTTAATGTTGATCCCCTCATTCTCATAGTCATGTTGCCTGGAAAAACAAGCATAAAGAGAAGGATGTTTAAACAACGAAAGCAGGTGGAATTTCAGAAGCAAGGCAACAGTATATTTATTTAAGGTGGAAGTTGACCACACATTTAAACATCCACTCAACAAGTTCAGCGTGCTCTACTGGTATCAGGCTCAGGTTAAATGTTCTACTTAAAAGATTATTGATAAAGAAAATCATACTTCAGCGTTAAACAACATTTTTTGATAACCCATTAGTTAGCATAAAACAAATGCCAATGCTAACATTTGACCCCTTCCTAGCATTACATTAGCTTGGAAATGATTAATAGCTTAGCCTACATCAAATTATGTAGCATTAACTTTCCTGTCATATCATGACACTGCCACATGTTTCAGCAACTTCTAGCAATTTTTTTTTTTTTTTATGTTATAATATCTAGAAAGTTTATTTATTTTTATAGAAACCTTTCTCTTGTCTGTAATGTAGCCAGGTGCAGGTTTTACTGCATTGTCTTTATCTTTTGTTGATCAGTTAAAGAATGCTTATGATTTGTCAGATACCCTGAATGCATATGGCTTAAAACCTGATCCACAGCATTATGACATACCAGTGGCTAATTGATGCACTGTGAATATAACCAATAGGCTACAGCTTGTTAAAGAGATACAGGCTCATTTCAAACTCTATTTTTAAACCTTCCTGATGAACTACTGTGTGAATACACTGATTGAAAGTGCAGCTGATAGCAGTGCAATATACAGTGTGAGCTATAGTGGTTGCTATAACATTACTGTCCTTACTATCTGCACTCCTGATTATGCCCATGATACAGATGCATTGTCTGATAACATTTTCAGGGACTACTGTGCCAACTATAGTGACTATAGGTCAGTGACTAGTGACGACTGAAACACACAGAATGCTGAATAACATATCCTTCAAATTACAGTATTATCAAGTTATATATAGTTACAGATCTACAGCCACACAAGGCTCTGTGAGGCTGGACTTGCTATGTTTTGAGCTACATTTCAGCATGCCAATATGCTCATAATGATAAAGCTAACAGCAGGTAAATTGTTACCATGTTCAATGCTTAGTTTCACATGTTAGCAATTTGCTTCTAAGCGTCAAATACAATCGCGAACAACGGAAATGTATCAAGTTTAAGTGGTACTGATGACCATGGTAGACCATTGAATTAAATATTCTGATTTAATGATTGTGCTCTATTGAAAAAGAAGGACAATGCATTATTGTTAAACTGAAGCATAGCATACATGTTTAACCCATAAGTTCAACATAAGACCTCCAATATCTTTTGGTACATTTCACAGCTAGCCATGATACTAGCACTTAGAGGGAGTGCATTTATGTTTCTTAACTCGACACATTAAGGAACTGATAAAAAAATATTGTACAATGTTTGCCTGGTTAAGTATAGAAGTATCCAATCTATGTTAATACTTAATACCCTAAATACATTGTTGGTGTATTTCCATAGAGACTAAACTGGTTTTCCCATTTAAACTGCATTTAAAATGTCCCTCTCCCTTCACTGTTTTATACTTTGAATCATTAAAATAGTCCAATCTTTGTGAAGTGAGAAGCCAAAGGAACTTGGGAACATAAATTATCCCAATAAAGCTGTAAAGGATGTCTCTTCATGTTAAAAAAGGCATAAATATGATGACTGGCCGGTAAAGACTTATTATTAAAAGCACATGAATGCAACCTTTAGATTATGCCCTTTGGATGAAGGTGCTGTGCTTGAACAGTAGGCCTAGCCTTCCCCCTGTTTTATTTTCTTTGACAACTTCCTTGTCTTCCCTGTCATTAATTATTGTGTGACCTCCATTGATAATTACCCAGTTGGTGCTACGTTGATTGATTATCAAAGGTAACAGGTCAACATGTGTGTTAAATGAGTTTTTAATTCCTGTCTTTTCAAAGCAACTGACTTCTTGTTTGTGAAGATTACCATAGCAATGGTGTACGGAGAGGCAATGACTGCAAAGACTTTGACTGTAGAAACAAACTGATGTTGACTAAAAGATCAGTTTAACAGTTACCTGACGTTGTGGAAGGAAGCCGTATAGCAGATGATCGATTATACGGAGTGTCGGTGGGGATTTGGAACGAACTGTGATCTGAAGAAGAAAAGTGTGAAGGAGATAACGTCACAGTAAGTATGAAAAAAGTGTCACTTTGAAACACATGTAAGACCAAGGAGCATAGTAGTCAACACCAAAAAAATATGTTTTTTTTGTGGAACAATGAGACAGTGATCTAAAGTTCAATAATTCAACTTGTTCCCTCAGGTCCACTCACTGAGGTCATACGGCCGTGCAGGACTCCCAGGGCGTGTTGAGATGAGGCCCATGGGGATGCTCTCTCTCCCCCTCCAGCTCTCCTCCTGCCAGCCCCCCCAGGGTATGCTCCCTTCTCCCCCATCACTAGTGGGCCGTCCAGGCGATGAAGCAAATGTGTCTACCCTCTCACCCTGCCAGGTCGGGTCCTGCCTTGCATAGGGGTTGGCGTGTTGGGTTTTGCTGGAAGACCTTAAGACCAAACAGAACAAAAAATGTACAAAGCAATGGATGCAGTGCTTAAATGCACAACTCCCACCCAGTTACATCGCTTTGATAATAATATATAAGCCTGATTGATTAATTAAATGTGGCCCAGAAGAAGGCACTTTATTCCACTGTCTTTGGAGCTGCCTGAAAATGTAAAGTTCTGAGGAAAGGTTCACACAAACTCTCTGATATTCTATTAGGTTGACTGTCTGCCCTCTGGCATTTATCCTTGATTATTCCCAAATGAATTGATATGAATACAGTTATATTTACTTTATTCTCACTGCAGGCTTAACACCATATTGCAACATTCTGGTAAAGTCTTGACACACCTTTAGTCAAACACCTATTTAAAAGTCTCTCCCACTGTTTAGCCTTGGATAAACGAAAAGGATAATACAGAGATTCTTTATGACATGGGAACAATTGATTAAAATATTCTAAATTCAGGATTAATGAATTATAACATCATGAAGTCATGTAGAAAGACAATGTTACTCCACATAAGAACCATATGCATGTTTTTTTTTGTCTTGTTTGTGTGTTTGTCTGTTTTCTTCTGTTTAGTTGTGTGCCTCAGTTGTGTCTATGTATTTCTGTGTGGCTCTATTGTGTTTTTATTTTCCGGAAAAATATAATCAAAGATGATGCTTATCAATGAGGTCATAGCAATTATGTTTATAACACCGACGGTCACTGGGGTTATCAATTCAAGAAAGAAACTAGATATTCAAGCCATGATTACAAGGTAGTTGTTATCTGTAATTATATAGGTCTTAGCCTTAAACATTCTATGGGGGCGGTGGATTTGTTTTTCTTCTTGCGGAATGGATTTAATTTCCTACAAGGAAGTTGTGGATAAAGTTTGAGTGAACTGCAATAAACCAATGAACTAATGCACCCACCTCTGAAGTTTCTCTTAACATTTTTCAGTCTTTAGACCTAAAAGTTTTTACCAAAATATAAATAAGTTAAATGCATATCTCTTCAAGCCTTTTGAATGATCAGGATGAATATAAAATCAATACACCTGTTAGTGGGGTAGAGCAGTGGAGCCAAGTGTATGTAAAGGGAAATGTGATTTGCTGAAGAAATGTTTGTCTGCTTTTACAAGTGAAGGTAATGTCTTCTAGTAGAAGTGTCCCCAAACAGAAAGGAATGTATAGGCTGTATCTTCTGTTCACATGAAAAGTCAGCCATTTGCGTTCTGTTGCTGTTGTCTGACCCTGAATAAATTCTAAAATAATCCACAGTCTGTCTCACGATTTACAACAGAAATACCTCCACCTAACAAACACGCAGCTCTCATCCCAACATGTTGTTTGACAAATAAAAATAAGAATGGATATGCTTTTCATGATAAATTATTCACATAACCCATAAAAACACACTCATTTGATGTAGTTATGTAACCACAAACCTTCTATCGACTTCCAGAGTCTCGCTGTCATGGTAGGCATGGTTGAAGAATCCTCCGCTGCTGTAACTTGTCATCAGATCCTTTCAGTTAAAGATTCCTCTCTATACCTTGAAAACAACAACAATCCTGCGGCTCACTTGGTCGCAGTCACTCTTACGTAGTTTGATGCTTGTACAGTCCAGGTCCAGTTGTACACTGAAGAAAACATGGAGGTCTATATAATCTTATAATCATACTATTGTCATGACACGTATAAAGCACACATGAATGCCTTCATGCCGTTGTTAGGCTCAGGTTGCCAACTAAACTTCATTATAGCTCAGGCCATGCCTCTGTCTCAGAATGACAGCTACATTGTAACAGGGAATCATGTGTAACTTAATCTCTTGGTCCCATCCTCCTTTGTTCATCATTAATTCATGCACACGGTTTAGTTTCCACAGGTAGAAGCCCCACTGATAGCAGAATTGAAAATCTGTATGAACATGAACTGAATCTGACATTTACAGACAAACCACCAAAGAAAGGAGACCCTCAGAGCGGGTTTACAAATATGAGTTGGCAGAGGTTGTTACTGAAGCAAAATGGTGCAATCTTAACATATTCTTAAGTTGAACAAATCCTCCTTACCTGGTTAATGTGTTGCGATGGTGAGAGACAAAAAAAAAACTGTAGATTTTTGGGGAAAAAGAATGAACAAAATAAATTAAATCCCTTCTAGTTTTATTAAGCAGTCCACAAGCCTGAGGAGTAACCTGTGACTGAGACTGAGAAGCACCACCACCACAGCTGCAGATAAAAAGAAGGACTGTCTGGCTACCAGGAAGTGTGTGCTCAACTAACTCATAAAGGTAAAAGTCCACTGCTTCTGAATAGGTGATGTAAATCCCATGTTGACACTTTATATTGTGACAATAGTCAGACTCCCCTCGGACTGTCATCTATGTAACAATTGATCAACCTGTGTCAGGAGTAGTGTATGTAAACCAGCTGTGCATGGAGGTGCATGGAGGTAAACAGAACTATGGATGAATGGTTTGAAGGATAGACAGGCCAACATAACCTTTAACCCACCTTAATCCAAGTGAAGGAAATGTTCTAATTATTTCTCTAAAGGGATTTCCCCTTCTTTTGAGACCTTAAAGTTCACTCCACTACCTTTACAAAATAAAGCCATGGTTACTTACTACACAGCCTGATGCACAATATATTTCTTGTCCCTGCAGGACAACCACGTTGATGAGTTTTTATTTTAGTTATCCTGGCTTGAGAGTTAACTTAATGTGAGCTTCTATATGTCTTTAAGGATGTTGCTCCCTCATTAACAATTTAAAACAAACTATAATCATTTATAGCCAAAGTGGTTAAGAGTGCTATTAAAACTGTAATCATTAAAAATATATATGTTTTAAAAGAGTGAAATATGGTGGAAATGGGAAAATAAATTATATGAATTCATACAAATGAAATAAAAATGTTAATATCTAAACAACTAACACAATTCATTCATTGGCCCTTAAATATATATATATATTTTAATAGCTTTAATGGGAACTGGTTCTAATAAGTAAAGTATAAAAATCCAGTATAACCAAATGTGGTTAATTATGCATGGATGGAAAGTAACAAAAAGCATTTAGTCACGTAGGCTAGTTTTGATGTAGGCTATTTGTCCTTTTTGGGCATAAAATTCCCATTTCAACCCGTCGTATTTTAAATAAGTTGTTATATTTGGGATTTTTTATTTTATTTTGTTTAAAAAATTAAATAATAATTATAAAATAGACTTATATTACAGAAAGGAAAGAACCAGGGAGATAAACATAACGTAAGCGCTGCTCTTGGATCTGTATCCACATTCAGGAAGTTGTCTCTGGGAAAAACAGTGTAGTCTTCCTGACAGCGGAGACTCCCTGTAGACGAAGTCTGCTAGGTTTCTTGTTAGCTTGTAGTTATATCAAAGAATACAAAACTGTTTTAATTGAAAAGGAAACGGGAACCATGGAGGTCGACTCAGGTAAAGTTAGCGCGACATTCGTGTCTGCTACTTTGAATACTTACATGTCGGGTTTACTTTACTTTAGCCCATCAGCTAGTCATGCTAAACTACAAACTTAAATCAAACAGCTGATAATGTTGGGCTAAGTGCTTTGTCCTGCTCGTTAATGATTTGTTCGGAGTGGTTCTTTGGATAAGTTACATCGTAAATAGAGTTGTTTACTGTAACTGTGTCGAAACGCCGCTGTTGGCATTTTTACTTGCTGAGTCTGGTTCTCGTTTGGCCATTGTCTCATCCTGCTCCACTTCATGAAGGGGAACAAAACAAAGTCTCACATCACTGTTTATTACGTGAGGAAGTTACGTTAAATGTTGACATCTGTAACAACTTTTTATCATCTCAAATTCAAAAAGAGATGATTGCTGGGAGACCTGTGTAGCCTAATTAATAAAAAACTCACAAGTCTAAACAAATAATAATAGACCTACTCTGACTGTTCCTGTTCAAACCAGAATACACACGGCTGGATGCTGTGTTATAATCCATACACTATCTTTATTACGTTGTACATTGTAAAATATATATTTTTGAGATGCACCGATGCATCTGTATAGGCCGAAATCGGCACATCATAATGTGGTATGAGAACCGATGTCAGTAGATGTTTTTTTTTGTTGTGTCAAAAACATAAGTATTGGGATTGACTTTATTGTTATTTCAAAACTGAGTATCTATATCGGCCACTCTGAGCATCTTTATTATGTTTTTTTCCACTGCTAATAAATCTGCTCCAGTGACTTGATGTATCTGTCATCATGCATTCAGTCCTACACAAAATACTAACCCTTTTGATTGATTTATCAATTAGAGAATCAGACAAAGAGTCATTCCAGTGCCTTTTGGGTAATTAACACACTTGTACTTTTACATGGGCAAGGAATGTCTCCAAACGACCTGTTTGAGCACACATTTTCTGGAAAGTGGAGGAAGGCAAAAGACGTAGAGGACTTTCTCAAAACTGGGGGGTTTGTAGACAGGCGAGGGACACGTATGGGGTTGGCTGTTGCGTATGAATGCAAGTGAATGGGATTAGTTACTTGTGATGGTCTCACTACATAGCAACCACTACCATCCGTGTGTGAATGTGTAGGTGTGACATGCGGTGTAAAAGCGCTTTGAGTAGTCAGAAGACTAGAAAAGCGCTATACAAGCTCAAGTCCATTGACCATTTACTTATCAGTGTTAGAAAAACATAGAAAAGTGCATTTTTGCATAATATGGGACCTTTCAATGTTTGATAGCATCTTTCACTTCATGAAGTAAATACCTTCAGTCCTTTGGTGAAGAAGATTACGTTTTACTGACTTGGGATGAAAACCATAACTTCAAAAGTAGAAATGGAAGAGTAAGGATCGTTATAAAGACAGGATAACACACATCATGAAATTCTTATCATCTCTATTCACCCCTCTTTTAAAGTCTTCTACACTGATCGTAGTGGACGAGTCACCAGTAACCCACTGTTGGACCAGCTCCCCAGCTACCAGTCTCTGCTGTACCGCAGGAAGTCGTCATTGACCGCAGGCTCAAAGCGAAGAGGCAGCTCTAGATCACGACTTGGCTCCTCTGGCAGCGGGAAATGGGGCATCAGCACATTCAAAAGACGGGAAGAGAAACTGAAGAGTCCGACAGAGCAGAGACCCATCCGGGAACTGGCCAAGACCATGGCTGAGAAACGTAGACACAAGTAGGAATGACATGATCATACTATACTGAACTTCTTGATTAAACAATATGTAACTGATGTCTTAAATATTGTGCGGCATTTAGAGATCTTTCTATTGATGGTGTGATTTTTTTAGAAGTTTTCCCTCTGTGTAACTTCTTTACTAACAATGTGTTTGTCTGCTTTTGTTAGCACACAGCGCTTAGAGGAGGCCAGAGAGCTCAGCAGCTGGAGCCACATGAGGCGAAGCACCCGCAGGCATCTGAGGAGGCTGAAAGATGACGTTGAAGAATGGCTGAACTCGCTGAAACTTTGGAGAGGAGACATTCACCTGATAGAGGGTGAGAGATGAAAACAACAACGTTTGCCCCGCCGACATTTAATGATTTCTGTTGAGGATCACCAACATGAGTAAATATTTTCACAGCTATAACAAATCAGAGCCAGGTTTTGTTCTAAAGTTTATCTCTCCATCCGTTTCCTTATATTTGACAGGGATGTTTGGCACAGGGATCCTGTCTTACTTCTCCTTCCTGCGCTTCCTGGTGATGCTCAACTTGGTCATCTTTCTGCTCATGTTCAGCTTTGTCATGCTCCCCATCATCATCGCCCCCAGTGCTTCAGGGAATATCACCTACAACATACACGATGGTGAGGAGACACTTTTTGGATTCAACCGACAAAGAAGAAAACGGTGTTAACTAACGTCACCAAAATTATGGATACTTCATTTTTAAAGTGATGCAATCTTGGTTAAATATTCATCAGCTGTATCTAAAAAAAACACAAAAGCTTAAAAAAACTGACATATAATGAGATTTTTACCCCAAAGCTGCAAGCAGTTCCAAACCTTGGGCGGCTGGGGCTTAGTTGGTAGAGTCAGTCGTCTCGCAACCGGAATCCCCAGCTCCTGCAGCTACATGTCCAATGTGTCTTTGGGCAAGACACTTAAACCCAAGTTGCTCCCGCTGCTTCGTCGGCGGCGTATGAATGTGTTGGGATTAGCTAATACTAATGGCTACTTTACAAAGCAGCCTCTGCCATCAATTCTACAATTCACTTAGCAGACGCTTTTATCCAAAGCGACGTACATCAGAGAGTAAGAACACAAGCAAGGATCTAGAAAAAAAGGGAACAATGTCAGTAAGCGCAAACGATCATCTTTGAGTCCGATTGGACACACAGGTGCTGACAGGCATTGCACAGAGGCCAAGCACAACATTGAGGGCAGTTCTTGAGAGCTCTAATCAGTATAGAAACCATCGTCACAACCATCATCATCATCAATAATATGGAGGCCATCATCATTAAGTTAGTAGGTATTCATGAAAGAGCTGGGTCTTTAGCGTTTTCTTAAAGGTGCAGAGGGACTCTAGTCAGAGACTTAGGACCCTGTTGTGAAGGTTGGATCAGGCGCCTTTCATTGGCAGAGCGTAGTGGGGGGAGGGAGTGTAGACCTGGATGAGAGAGTTAAAGTAAGGAGGAACCGTTTCTGTTTCTGTTTTGTAAGCGAGCAGCAGAGTTTTAAATTTGATGCGAGCAGTAACTGGGAGCCAGGGTAAGGAGATGAACAGCGGAGTGACATGTGCTCTCTTAGGAAGGTTGAAGACCAGTCGTGCTGCTGCATTTTGTATCATCTGCAGAGGTTTGATAGTGCATGTCAAACAGGAAGACCTGCCAGTAGAGAGTTGCAATAGTCGATGCATGATTTCACAAGAGCCTGTACCAGGAGCTGTGTAGCGTGTTCTGACAGGTAAGGTATGATCTTCCTGATGTTGTACAGGGCAAATCGACATGACCAGGCAATTGAGGCTACTTGAACATTAAAAGTTAGCTGGTCATCAATCATGACACCCAGGTTCCGGGCAGACTTTGTGGGCATGAGTTTGGTTGGTTCCAAGCTGGATATTGATCTGTGGTTGCATAGAGGGACTGGCTGGGATGACAAGGAGCTCAGTCTTTGAAAGATTGAGTTGAAGGTGCTGTTCATTCATCCATTTAGAGATATCAGCAAGGCATGATGAGATTCTTGCAGAGACACCATCAGTGTGTGAAGGGGTAGGTGTGACCTGCGCTTTGAATAGTAG